GTCTCCTCTCTCTAACTCCTCCATCCTCCCTGCCTCATCGGACACCTCACCGCCACCCACAACTCCCCCCCTCCCAGTTCAACCCTACCCTCTCATACCCCTCCCTCCTTCACAACCACTACCCCCAACCCCCGCCTCACCACTGCTGCCCCCTGACTGACCCTCGAGCAGGTTATCTATACCTGCCCCTATCTACCATATTCGGCCTGGCCAGGCATCACTTCAGCATACAGCATAACCGAACGACGTCATAATAGCAGGAAGCATATGTAATGTCTGCATTTACCTGAGAATTCTTCATAAACAGTATAGAACAGCCAAGACGGTACAGGAGGGCTGCGGACACCTGGGAGAAGTCTCTAGAAGATCAGTTGGCAACTTCTATTTTTTTCTTCTGTTTTTTTCTTCTTCTTTTCTGTTTTTTTATAATAAAAGCCCATGTTGTTGTAGAGGCGGGATACGGACATATGATAGTCAGCTTCGGCACTCGGCCATGTGGTAGAGGCCCCCCTACTCCTATAGGACTCCCTCCCAACCTACCTCTTTCGTAATTTCTCCCGGCGCACTCCTACTCCCACTATCCTACGTCAGTGTCTTCCACTCAGGATCGTCACTCTCCAGCCTTGGGGGTGACCTGACCGAACCGTGGTTGTAGGTACCAGGGCTAAGCTGAGTCCCACACACCCCACTCAGCCCTGATCGAAGCATATTTGTGTGAGCCTTGTCGCCCAGGTGCTTCAGCTGCTAGGTACAGACATTTCACTACAAGTCCCATAGGTGGACCTACCTATTTTGCGTTCCTATCATTCTTTTTTGTGTACACATTTCACTACAAGTCCCATAGTTGTTACTTTTTTTTTTTTTTGTGTCCCATAGTTGTTACTGTTTTTGTTTTTGTTAGATTGGGAGGGGGAGTCCTAAAGGAACGCAAAATAGGTCCACCTATGGGAGGGCGTCCTATAGGACTTGTAGTGAAATGTTCGCTGTGCAGTGTGCACACTGTTGTCATTACTAAATGTTTTTTTTTTTTTTTTGTTGATAGTGAACCGAACATAGGAGGCAGGCAACCCAACTAGGTGGAGGCTGGGTCAGTTGTTAAGTAGGAGCCCCGCAATGGGATCGGGTTAATTCGCAGCTCAAAGGGATACTGGGTGCTTCAGAGTAGAAGAGAATAATGCCTATAGCCTCAACATTGATCTGTATTGTTGTATTAAAGGGACGCTGGACCTGGTTTCCAGCAGGTGTCGCTCCCCACCAATAGACGGAGCAGCCCAACAGCCAAGGCCGCAATTCCGGTGGTTCTCTTACCACTGCCGGGATAGTGGGCTTTACAAAAGGGCTTTTGCAGCCAGAAAAAAAAAAAAAAAAAAAAAAAAAAAAAAAAAAAAAAAAAAAAAAAAAAAAAAAAAAAAAAAAAAAAAAAAAAAAAAAAAAAGGAAACAAGCCACGGTTTTATTTAGGAAACATACGGGCGGGCCACTACAGGAGGGCCCAAATTCATCTGACTAGAAACGTTTCTACTCTTTTTTTTCTTTTTTCTTTTTTTTCCGCGGCCAATAGCTGGGCTAAGTACTGTTGGTTTTCACATCTACCCATGCACGAATTTTCACCGGCAAAAAATAATTGACGGCAGCTGACCTGGCAGGGCCCAGTGCTTCCAACTGGTTTCGTACGGATTTTCGAAACACCAGTTTCACAGGGAAGCAGCACTTGCTAAGTCAAAACGGAAAGCCACATGAACTTGCGCTAGCGCCAGCGCCCTAACGCCGGCTGACCGGCGAGGCCCGGCCGTACCCGGCGTGACCAGCATGCTGGAAAGGTGGGCACCTCCAGGCCGCTGGGTCTGTTCACGTGCCCGACACGTGGCCGTGGCTTTCAGATTGCCACGTGCCACCTGTCGTTTGGTGACGTAGACGCCCCGCGATGTGTGAACAGGGGAAGCGCCAGACGTGATTGATTGGAGATTACTACACAAAAGCGGCGCGGTTCTTTGAGCGAGCCATGACTACCACGGAGGAGAATTTGGTGAGGGAGCTACATATTGGAGCAATCGAATGGCTGATTACCTTGGAGAACGGATGCAGATGGCTACGGGAGATTGTGAGGGACATGTCTTTACGGCTGCAAATGGAGCCAGAGGTCGAAGGGGGAGCGATCTCTCTGGCCGGTTGGATGAAGGACAAAAGTGAGGACATGCTGGCGATCATCTGGGAGCTGGAGGAGGGGCCGGATCCTTGGCTTGACGTCAGCATCGATTGGAGGAGGGCAGATGGCATCATGTCCATCTGCAAAACCCTCTTCAATTGGGGTCGTGATCTGTACGCTCTTCTGGAACACCGGTTGGAGGGCGTTATTGATCGTGAGGACACGCACGTGGCAACAGAGGTAACAGCGCTCAACAACAACAGTGGCGAAAACATCATCAACAACAATAACAACAACAACAACAATAATATCAACAGCAACGACGACGACGGCGGCATTGACGGCTACGGATGCAGAGGGGATGACAGCGGTGCCTGGGCAGATGTGATCATCATCGACATAATGGGGGAGATGCTGCATGTGGACGAAGGGGAGATTGGGGTTGGTACGGAAAAGGGGCTTGTTATCTCCCCCCACCCCCTCAACGATGAGGACGACGACGACAACAACAACAACAATATCAATGACGACGACGACGACGGCGGCCACCACCAAGGGAGCAGCGGGGTAGGAAGCGGCATCCGGTTATCTGTGATTGTCATCAGCGTGAAGGGATTGATGCCGCAAGTGGACGGGGTGGGACAGGGGCTTGATATAAAGAAGAGGTTTACTGCTTTCTCTCCCTCCAACCTCGATACGGTGTTCCTCCTCGTGGTTTGGCAGAGGGTAGGGATAGGAGTAGGATAACTGGGGGTGACTGATGTTGCCCGGCCTGCAATACCAATCGCCAACGGGGGGCTGATCGTCTTGCATTGCCTCCTGCTAGTTTCCACATGATAATGCATATTGGATACTGGACTTGACATCCAGATTATACATTCCTCATCATTGATAGAGCTTTGCTTCTAGGCCTGATTGATAAAAGATCATATACACCGCATCCTGCTTAGGGTTTCGTGATTACACATTGACAGATTCAGAATATGGACATATATAGACAGTCTCTGACTGTTGGACATAGTTACAAAACACGGTATTTCGTTTGATTGGATTGATGCCTCACTTTGTTTCCGAATCTCTATAGACTAAATGGATAGGGGCGCTGGACCCGCTTTCCAGCACATACACTCACACGTATGCATACAAAGTTCACACACAAAAAAAAAAAACGATGGAGCCTTCAACGTCATTTCCAGCACATACACTCACACCAGCAGATTCAATTTCATCATTGTATCTAAGGGACGCTGGACCCGATTTCCAGCAGGTGTAGCTCCCCACCAATAGATGGAGCCTTCGACGTCGGGGCCTACTTACC